TGGGAAAGTGTGAAGGCAAGAGGAGAAGGGGACGACAGAGGATGAGATGGTTGGACATTGTCACCGAAGCCACCAACATGAATTTGACCCAACTCTGGGAGACAGTGGAAGACGGGAGGGCCTGGTGTTCTCTGGTCCATGGGGTCACGAAGAGGCGGACACGACTTAATGACTAAACAACAACAACAACATTAGGGCTGCTGCTGAAAGAAAGCCAACTCTCGAGTCATAATGCTGAAAGCAACTATCTTTATGTCATCCAGGTTAGCTCTTCAGGGATATACTTCATTTCTGCTGTCATTGTTCCTCAGTTTCTTGCTCTCTCTAATCCACCTATAGGATATATTTTTAGGCATGTTAACATCAGGGTCATGGCTTCAGGCCTCATGTTGTGCAGCTACCTGATTTGACCAGTTTTTAACCGTTTTGGCTGTTCCATTTCTTCCCCTGTTGGTGAAGCAGCAGGTGAAATTCCACCTGAGGCACATAACTCAGGGAGTGGTCTTCATAGTATATATACATCACCTATTAGCTGGGTTTATTTTATCCTTCACTTCTCCATATACCTATAAATATGAGTTAGGTTTTTTTAAAAAATACCATTTAGTTCCTTTTTTTGCATATGCTGTAATTTTGCGATTTTGAAGTTAGAGTCGGTTACTTGAACAGTTTCTGATTACAAATTCTTGAAGTCATTGTTGCAATTTTTAAAAATGGATATAGTAATCTTACTTTAGATCAGGGCAGAGCAACTCAGCATCTCTTGCTATTTAGCTTGGTTTTACTGGTAACTTAAAGTAGTTTTTGGTTTTGGTGTTGCTACTTACTTGCTTTATGTTTTGAATAAATATCCAGTTCTCTTAAGACTACTTGATGACTGCAAAGTTTTCTTGATTGTTGAAACTCTTTTTAATATATCTGCACAAAAGATATATTTTTGGTTTTATTTTCACATAGTGGAGATACTTTGTTCTCCCTTCGTGATAAATATTTCTAAAGATTAATATCATCCTTTAAACATTTGATTTTGTTTTGTTATACATGTAGGCCATATATTTAGTAATGCAGTCTTCAGTTGTAAATGACTATTTGCATACCTACAAAGTATTAGAGTAATTTAAAAGTTGCATTCTAATTTCAAATATTTTTTAGGAAGGTGGGGTGTTTACTTTTGGAGCTGGAGGCTATGGGCAATTAGGTCATAACTCTACTGCTCATGAAATAAACCCGAGAAAAGTTTTTGAACTCATGGGGAACATTGTCACACAAATTGCCTGTGGAAGGTAAGACTGAGCTTAGAATGGAACTGGAAAATGAAATTATTTCATTGAGTTTTTGACAACTTTGATCTAACTTTATTTTGAGGCTGTTATGAAATCATTTTTGGAGAATATGGCCAAACTGCTCTGAGTGTGTACATGATCGTTGGCTTGTTTGTATGACCTTTCTCAAGGCTGGGAAGTAGCACAAAAGTGCTGTGTGCTTTCTCCCCAGTGTTGGTTGCTGTATGTATCATGTGCATTTAAGGTGGGAAGGCTGCATTAAAACTCCCCGGTAAGCAGTTGGTGGTTTCAGATTTGACCGGTATATGGGATATCTGAATTAAATCTGGACTTTAGAAAATGAAAATCCCATGTGGTCAAAGCATGGATGTAGAGTGGACAAGTTCCTATAGTGGTCAATAAATCAAATCTTCTGTCCTCCAAAGGGGGGAATTTTCCTTACAGTGTATTCTCAAAGGCTTTCACGGCCGGGATCTGATAGTTGTTGTGGGTTTTTCGGGCTCTTTGGCCATGTTCTGAAGGTTGTTCTTCCTGACGTTTCGCCAGTCTCTGTGGCCAGCATCTTCAGAGGAAGATGCCGGCCACAGAGACTGGTGAAACGTCAGGAAGAACAACCTTCAGAACATGGCCAAAGAGCCCGAAAAACCCACAGCAACCATTTCTTTACAGTGTTTAGTTTGGAACAGTCTGCCCCCAGAGATCTGTCTGGCTCCCTTGCTGGGTGTTTTTAAGAGCAGACTTAAGACCTGGCTCTTTAGGCAGGCTTTCCTTCCTGTCATAACTTGATTTTTTTTCATTTTCCCCATCTTTAACTATGTTACTGTGACGTGTCCCCTGTGACCCCAACCTGATTCCCTCAACTGCAGGGCTCACACAGTTTACTTTGCTGCCACCGGTGGATTTCTTTTACCCATGCTGTAAAGATTTCATTCAGACATTTGCTGCCAACAGAACCTTGTTTATTTAAGGTTATCAGGGAAAATCAGAATTTCAGATGTTCTTTATTCATTTCATGTTCATATAATCAAGTCAATATACATTCAATCACCACCAGTATTATGTGTTCACTTTAATCAGTTTATTATTATTATTACCTCTTTACTTTCCTGACTCTCTCTGTGGCAATCACTTCTCTCCTTCTCTCTTAACTCCCTCTGCCTAACTCTCTGACTCACTGATCCCGCTCCTCCAGTCTTCTCATAGGCTCATGCAAATGAGGTTCTGCTATGAGTGACAGGAGTGATGTAAGGCATTCATCACAATTACTATTGTTTTTTTTTAATTTTATTATATTGTTTTTATTCCATTTTTTATTATTAGCCGCCCAGAGTAGACTTCAGTTTAGATGGGCGGGGTATAAATTTAATAAATAAATAAATAGTGCTGTCCCTGCTTCAGAAAACAGTTCTTTTGGGGGGTAGTTTTTGTTTAAATAATAGTGTACTTGAATATTGGCTCTAAAAGAGAAGAGAACTGAAAGTTTGAGCACCTTTTCTAGCATAAAAGAAAAACAAAAATTGTCCAATTCTGAACAAATTGCCTATTAAACGTTGTCAGTTCCAAAGCTGTTGTTTAACATTTATTTCAAAATACCTGTTTAATTACAATTTTAATTGCTATCTGTGCTCTTTATTGTGATTCTGATTATAGCTGCTAGTTCAGAATAAAGTCATTTGACCATTCAAATACGTTTCCATTGTTAGGAAAGGTAAGAGGGAGTATGGCTGGTGGGGTTAGAAATAGCACACTGCACTCCACAGCATATTATTTGCACTCTGTCTTTGTCTTTCTGTGTTCATTTATACCTGTAGTGAAGTAAATGTTGGCATCTAGTTAGCTCCATCCATTTACAACAGACAAAGATGCATGGCTGAACTATGAGCTGTAAGCTTTCCAGTGGAAGTTTGATGCTTTAGTGGAAACTCGAATATATCCAATCGCGCTAAAGCTCTGAAATATTTTTTCCATAATAGGCTGAGTTTCTGTTTTTGCATATGTAAATTAAAATAATGGTATAGTATAGAACAGGCCACTGAAAGGCCCAGATAGGCCTCTTGAAGAATTTCTTTAGCAGACATAATGTAGTCACAGCAGCTTATTCTTTCTAAAATCTTGCTAGTGGCCCTAATGATATGTCATGCTAGAGAAATGGCTGCAGTAATTTAGACAACACAATAACTCAGTGGGCCCAAGGGATGACTTAATTGCATTGGCATTAAGGCAGCTCAATAAGCACAACAGCCTTCAGTCCCACAGGACAGCCAAATCTGTGTTTCGAGGTCATGTAATTTTCTGTTTATAATTCCATCATAATAACACTGTAACTTTGGGGTCTTTTCTTCCAACTTGTTATTTTGGTTTCTTGGCTTGGAAAGAGAAATTATGCTTAGTTGCTTTAGAAGCTTGTATCAAGCTTCTGTCAAACACCCAATGATGTTTGATAGAAGCTAGCTGAGGTCTAGGTTGAAGCATTACCTCCTACCGTGCTGGTGCTTTTGAGATAGCTGCTACTACTTCTATTTCTTTGTTTTGGAGATAAACAAGTTTTGGATCATTAGTTTAAAGTAACAAATAAATGATAGCACATACAATTTCAATGTTGATAGGTCTATAATAAACTTCTCTATCGTTTTTTAAAATATCTGTTCTCTTTGGCCTAGGCAGCACACATCTGCATTTGTACCTTCAACTGGAAGAATTTATTCTTTTGGTCTTGGAGGTAATGGGCAGCTAGGAATGGGATCAACCAGTAATAGAAAAAGCCCTTTCCCAGTGAAAGGAAATTGGCTTCCTTATAATGGCCAGAGTCTATTAACTTCAGGTAAGTGTAGATCTGCTTTAATATTTATGAGGGGTATTCTTAATGGATTAAAGATGTGGTAATAATAAGTTAAGGATTGGACTTATTTGTAGCATATGTGTGCCTCACCAGATCATATGCGTCCCATAACAACAATGAATTGCACAATATAGAAAGTGAATCTAATTTATCTGTAGGTCTTAGTGAGAGTACTGAGTAGTGATTGTAAATATAAGTCCAAACAGAAATGTATGGTTTCTGCAGTTAAACATATGTTCACGCATGGGCTTATAAGAGTTAGCGGATGCTTTTGCAGAATGAACATTTTCAGATTCATGAATTTAATTACCTGAGTACAGTTTTAGTCTATATATAGTGTCAGCCCATTGAATTAATGACAATTATGTATATTTGGGCCAATATCTAAACAAAGAAGGATTTCTGATACTTGGTTCAAGTTATCCTCCAGATTCTAACATGACCTTGTTTTAATTATAGATGGTGAAGAATATTATTGTGTAAAGAGGATTTTCTCGGGTGGAGACCAGAGCTTTTCTCATTATGTTAATCCACAGGTATTTTATCTCAATTTAAAAATTCATAAATTGACTTCTTTGTTCATTTAGACTTAAATCTTATATAGTGGTGGCCCACATAGCGACAATCCGTGCAGCAAAAATCATTGCTATACGGATTCGTCGCTATGCGAAATTAAAAAGCCCATAGGAATGCATTAAAACGCATTTAATGCATTCCTATGGGCTTAAAACTTACCTTTTAAGTGAAAATCCTCCATACGGCTGCCATTTTAGCTGCCCAGTAAGCGAGGAATCTGTCCCTGTTTTACCTGGCAGCCGTTTTGGAACCGCCAATCAGCTAGGGGAAATCATCGCTATGCGAAAATCGGTAAGCGAAACAGCTTACTGATCGTCGCAAAGCGATTTCCCCCCCTAGGAAACATCGTTATGCGATCGCAAAAGCGATCGCAAATTCTTCATCGCTATGTGGATTCGTCGTTAAATGGGCCGCCCGTTATGTGAGGCACCACTGTAATAGGAATGTCGATGTAGTACTAGGGCTGATTTCAATTTCCTTGATCGCTTTGTAGCCATTTTCTAGCCATTTGCTATAGAATTACAACTGATGTATCTGCTAAATATTATTTAACATTTAAAAACCTTGCTGGGCTTCTTTAGAATCTGATGCTAAAACATTTGTTATTCAGGAAATGTAAAAGTGATTTGATATGTTTGCTCACTAAGCCAAAGCTTTAGAACATTTTAATGTTTAGAGTTCAATCAGCATCTCATTTGCTTTGTATTACAATATATTTTTGGCCTCAGAACGCAAATCGTGTCTTCTAGAGGCCTGTTGGGTTTGCTTAATATACCCAGTGTTGCCAATCCTAGGCCTCTTTTATGCTTTCAAATATCTCTTGTTGAAATAGGAAGTTATCAGCTTGTCCACAGTTTAATATTTAGGAGGATGTTTCTTCTGAAATACCTTATCCAGCAAGAGAGAGATATGTGGAGTTGATATCTGTATAAATGAACTTAATGGGTTAGTCTTGGGTAAGTAGTTATCTACAGGGAAGCATGATTGCAACTGGATGTACTCTGGGTTTCAATTAACCTATACTTGAATAAAAGTATTTTGAAATAGATGTTATGTAAACTATGCTAAACAGTATAAAAATCATGCACATTTCATAGTTAGCCTGGGAGAAAAATGGGTAATTCAGAAGTTGCACGACTTGGAGAATAAAAATTGAATAATGCATGAAATCTCAAGATGTAACAAGTGTTATGTATAAGATTTTAAGGAAAACCAACCCTATTTATGTGTATTTGTGATTTGTTATTTATACATAGGATTTGGTACCACCAGATGATTTCAGATACCCTAATGCTGCACGACAAATCTGGACTGTGAATGACAGCTTCATTCAGAGATTGCTGAACTGCTCATCTTCAGGAGCAGGGAGACTTCCTGTAGAGATAGCAAAGTAAGAATTCTGACTTTGGGGCAGACCTATAGTCAGTACAGTGATATACTTACTACTTCTTTACTGAATTCTATTGAATTCTGCATGTATATTAGATCCTGTTAACTCAGGGACACAATGAGCTGAATTGAAGTGCCTCCTTTCTAAAATATAGGTGTCGATGCTGTAATAAACCTTCTATAAACTAGAGTCTTAATATTCTTGTTTATATTCAGAATATCAGGTGCTTTGTATTGCAAGTACCTGATATAGAGAGGTAAGCGTTACTTTTGCACAAGCTCAGTTATATATGATTCTCCTTGGCAGGTCACAATGGACTTATAAGCAACGCCTTAGACCCATGCATGCAAGGGAATCAAGAGTTTTCCTTCTGGCTTCTGTGACATAACTAAGCTTGCAACTAGGCATGTGACAGCTTCCCTGAACCAAGGAAGCAAAGAATCACGACAGTAGGCTAGCAGCATATGTGGACTTGCATGATTGTCTCCTTATTCTTTGCGAGTCTAACAAATTCTAAACAAAGAAATTGTCTGCTTGCAGAATTTGCAATGCAGTGAAACTCTTAAAAATTTTCAACGGTACTCGATGATTTATCAACTTACAGGATTTGTCTGCTTATAGATTGTTATGTATGGCATCCACTTTCTAGGTTGAATCTTTTAAAAATGTGCTTTTGTGTATGTACTTGTGAGGAGTATTACTGCTGAATGTAAATAAGTCAGGTCTTGGGTTTTGCAGGCTAGTGGTGTACAGAATATGAGAGGCCAAGAGTTTTATTTTTCACTTCATGTCATCCCCAGAGTAACTGTTTTAAGACCAAGTCTAGAGTGTACATATCATGATGACATTGTGTGCCGGGGTGATTGAGGTGGGCTTCTAGGCCTAATTTAGGCAACCAGTTGGTGGTGAGATGATGCATAATCTTCTGATAACTTGCACTAATGTTGTAGAATGTGATTAAGCAAGCTATTGCCATTTATGCACATTCTGCTGGCTGAATGGTGTATGTTTTGATTGATTGACCACACAGCTTAAATGTGTAAAGTTTTATCAAAGGCCTTTTTAATGTGGTAAATATATATTACAATGCAACAGGTCTCATTAGCAAAGGAATGGAATGCTACCAGTTATTATTAAAAGTCTTCAAAACATACCGTATTTAATACATCTTTCCTTTTTTTGAAAAAAAAATCTTTTTTTTCTAGTGAAATAGATGGAACATTCTCTTCATCTGGATGTCTGAATGGAAGTTTTTTGGCCATCAGGTCAGTGGGTAATATGTCATACTTTAAACTCCCTGCTACATAAATTTGTGAAAATTCTGGAAGTAATGAAAAAGTGTGTGTTAAGTGTGTATAAGCAATGGAAACAAAATATGACTTGATTGTCTTTCTGTCCATAGCAATGATGATCACTACAGAACTAGTGCCAGATTCTCAGGGGTTGATATGAATGCTGCTCGACTTCTGTTTCACAAGCTTATACAGCCAGAGCATCCTCATATATCTCAACAGGTATGTCCTGAAAAATCTTCTTGAGACTAGTCTCAGTTCCTTTATCACATATATGGTATATTTTGTTAAAAAGTTGGTGTAGTTAGAGTTGTAGTGCCAAAATGGATGTATTTGATGTTAGGAAAATACAGTGGTGCCTCGCTTAATGGGCGCCCTGTTTAACAATGAAATTGCATACCAAAGAACTTTTTGCGATTGCTTTTGCGATTGCATTGCGATGTTTTAAATGGGTAAAAATCGCTTTGCGATGATTGGTACCCTGTTTTGCTTACCGATTATCGCAAAGCAATGATTTTCTAAGCTGATCGGCGGCTCCAAAATGGCCGCCAGGTAAAAATAATGGCTGCCCACTGTGTTTTTGCACGGATTCCTCGCTTACCGGGCAGCGAAAATGGCTGCCGTATGGAGGATTTTCGCTTTAAGGTGAGTTTTAAGCCAATAGGAACACATTGAAGGGGTTTCAGTGCATTCCTATGGGCTTTTTAAAATAACATAGTGACAAAATCACTTTGCAGCGATTTTTGCTGCACCGATTAACATCGCTATGCGAGGTACCACTGTTTATAAATTACTATAGCAGCTCTTATCAGCTTGACATTTTTTTGTCTGATAAAAGCATATTTTTATTTAATATTTTAGTCCTGTGTTTGGGATGACAGTAAACCATGGGTTTATTTTGTTGAATTCTGAATAGTTCATAAATCATAGTCAACCTACAAAAATAGCTGCAGGTTGTGACCAAATAAACCAGCCGATAACCATAGTTTGGCATTGACTTGTGAATCGCAGTTTACTTTAAGTGCTGGTTATAAGTACTGTATTTTTCTGTGTATAAGATGCTACTTTTTCCTAAAATAGACTAAAAATTGAGGGTCATCTTATACACGGAAGTAAGCTGAGGAGAAAACCGTATGGTTGCGAAATTGCTCATGTCTCTGCAAACAGGCTTCCTCCAATCATAAGCGTTATGTAAGCTGATGCGGAGGAGAGCGTGTAGGCCGGCGATGGCAAACCTATGGCACGCATGCCACAGCTGGCATGCAGAGCCCTCTCTGTGGACATGCGAGCCATGCTGATACTGCTGCCCATGCCAGCCTGTTCAAACTGGAGGGCGTCTCATACATAGGGGAATTATATGTCTGAACTTGGATTCAGCTTTGTTGTGTCAATTCATTCTTATCTGGCTGTAGGAATAATTGCCATCATTATCATCATCATCATCATAGTAATAATGTACCATTAAGTTGATTCTGATGTATGGTGCCTTTCCAGAATTTTCTAGATACAGAGTACTCAGAAGTGGCTTACCTTTCCCTTCTGCTGGAGGTGCCTTGGGAGTGTGCAGCTTGCCCCAAACTACACAGGATAGCTGTTCTCCTGGGAAGCACAGTGGGGAGTTGTACTCCCAACCTCTGGCGCCGTAGCTAACTCACTGAGCTATAGACTGGCTTAAACTAGCAACAGTAGGAAATTTTAGCAGGTTCCCCTGGGCTGCTGGCCCTCCCTCCGCTGTGAATTTGGTGAATCCAGGAAAACCCTTTTAATCAAGGGTATATGTTGGGTTTTTAAATAGCTTGTTTTAAACAGTTTTCTTCTGTGTAGACACCATATTTCGGTAGCAAACTGATATGAAGCCATTTAAAGCAGGCAGAATCCTTGCTATAAATGTTCATTGCCCTGATTTGCTGCTGAAAGTGGGCTGTATGATTTACCAGGGATTTGGGGGTGCAAAAAAGGTGCTGGGAGCCTGCATTTGGTCCACTGGCTGCATATTGCCTACTTTGGGCTATAGAGCTGCGTGAGGTGAAAAGAGAAGGAACAGGGAATGAAGCCAGACATGTTGCTGAGATTTTCTCTTTGGTACCTTTGCAGATCTCTCCTTATTCTGTCTAGGAACAGGGACTTTTTCTGTCTAGAATGATTTCAATACGAATCCAAAGCAGACCTTTCAACATCACAGTAATCCAAGTTTATGCACCAGCCACCAGTGCTGAAGATGCTGAAATTGACCAATTCTATGAAGACTTAAACACTTTCTAGAACTGACACCAAAGAAAGATGTTCTTGGAATTGGATTGCTAAAATAGGTAGTCAAGATATCAAAGGAACAACTGGTAAGTTTGGCCTTGGAGTTCAAAATGAACCAGGGCAAAGGTTAATAGAGTGTTGTCAAGAGAACAAGCTGGTCATCACAAATACTTTTTTCCAACAACACAAGAGGCGACGCTACACATGGACATCACCAAATGGGCAGTACCGAAACCAGATTGATTATATTCTCTGCAGCCAAAGATGGAGAAGCTCTATACAGTCAGCAAAAACAAGATCTGGAACTGATTGTGGCTCTGATCATCAGCTTCTTATAGCAAAACTCAAGCTTAAACTGAAGAAAGTAGGAAAAACCACTGGGCTAGTCAGGTATAATCTAAACCAAATCCCTTATGAATATATACAGTGGAAGTGAAGAAGAGATTTAAGGAACTAGATTTGGTGGACAGAGTGCCTGAAGAACTCTGGATGGAGGCTCGTAACATTGTACAGGAGGCAGCAACAAACTATCCCAAAGAAAAGGAAATGCAAGAAAGGAAAGTGGCTGTCCAATGAGACCTTAGAAATAGCAGATAAGAGAAGGTAAACAGAATGCAAAGGAGATAGGGAAAGTTACAGAAAATTGAATGCGGACTTCCAAAGCATAGCAAGGAGAGACAAGAGGGCCATCTTGCAAAGATGGATATGATAAAGGACAAAAATGATAGGGACCTAACAGAAGCAGAAGACATGAAGAAGAGGTGGCAAGAATACACAGAGAAATTATACCAGAAAGATCTGGATGTCCTGGACAACCCAGATAGCGAGGCTATTGACCTTGAGCCAGACATTTTGGAGAGTGAAGGCAAGTGGGCCTTAGAAAGCATGGCTAACAAAAAGACCAGTGGAGGTGGTGGCATTCCAGTCAAACTCAACATAAAAAAACTAAAATCATTGCCTCTAGTTCGATCACCTCCTGACAAATAGAAGGGGAAGATATGGAGGTAGTGACAGATTTTACTTTCTTTGGCTCCATGATCCCTGCAGATGGTGACAGCAGCCATGAAATTAAAGGATACCTGCTTCTTGGGAGGAAAGTGATGACAAACCTGGACAGCATCTTAAAAAGCAGAGACATCGCCTTGCCAACAAAGGTCCGCATAGTCAAAGCTATGGTTTTTCCACTAGCGATGTATGGAGGTGAGAGCTGGACCATAAAGAAGGCTGAGCACCGAAGAATTGATGCTTTTGAATTATGGTGCTGGAGGAGACTCTTGCGAGTCCCCTGGACTGCAAGGAGTTCAAACTTATCTGTTCTGAAGGAAATCAACTCTGAGTGCTCACTGGAAGGATAGATCCTGAAGCTGAGGCTCCAATACTTTGGCCATCTCATGAGAAGAGAAGACTCCCTGGAAAAGACCCTGATGTTGGGAAAGTGTGAAGGCAAGAGGAGAAGGGGATGACAGAAGACGAGATGGTTGGACAGTGTCACCGAAGCTATCAACATGAATTTGACCAAACTCCGGGAGGCAGTGGAAGACAGGAGGGCCTGGCGTTCTCTGGTCCATGGGGTCACGAAGAGTCAGACACGACTTAACGACTAAACAACAACAAAAAGCAGTGTAACTTAATGCAGCTGACAAGTCTCAGGACAGTCTTGATCACATGCCTGTCATCTGTCTCGCCATGGAACTGAGATGCATCCTATCATCTCATCAGTTAGTGGCAAATAACTGTAGAAGATTACACAAATCTCACGCAAATACCAATAGGATTCTTGACAGTATCTTTCAGAAAACATGCTGGGCAGAATCCTCTTCATTGGTTCCTCTTGTGCAACACTCAATTATGCAGTTGGTTTGATTTTTCCAATCTTGCACAAGATGATATTAAGCAATACTTGCAGAAGCTTGGAAACTGTCCACCTCCTGGAGCTGCAGAGCATTGCACAAGTGTAAAGAACAAAGAGGATTCTACCACTTATACTTGAGAACTGAAATTAATGCCCCTAATGGCATTGTCCTTTATCATTATTTGAACTAGCTATGTAAAAAAGATTTCTGTGTGATCATTATTATTACAAATTTCTTACTGTGTTCAGTGTTATTTGAAGGGCTATGCATTTTTTTTATAAATAAAGGTTATGTTCAAATTGGTTTTATAGGTTTGTTCAGATACAAAGTTATTTTGATTTAAATCTAGAATCTGTCTTGTACCACATTCCTAGGTGGCAGCTAGTTTGGAGAAGAACCTTATTCCTAAACTGACTAGTTCCCTGCCTGATGTTGAAGCCCTAAGGCTGTTTCTAACCTTGCCAGAATGTCCTCTAATGAGTGATGCAAACAACTACATGACACTTGCTATTCCATTTGCAACGGCTATTGTGAATCTAGATAAAGCTCCACTGAAAGTACTTGGTAAGGTTTGTTTTGCTTAATTTTATTTTAATTATTTCCATATTAACCTATTACAAAGATGCAACAGCTTGTAAACCTATGCATATATTATCTCTCAAACTGTTAGCAAATTGTATTTATTACAGTAATAAAGGGAAGTATTTTTGCATGCATATCTTGTCATAGCTGAGAGCTAACAACCAGGTATAAAACTGTCATGTTCATCATTTTTGTTTTAGCTTGTTTTAAGTCTTAAACCACTCAAGTTCATAATTAATATTTACATTACTTAATGTATTCTGAGCTGCAGAGCTCTTTGTCAGTGTTTGAGGGATTCCACCCTAAAAAGCAGGGATTTTGCTTCCTTCTCTTCCTAACAGCATGCTACTTCATAACCAAGCTGGAGAGAAGATTTCATTGTGAAATTTTGTCTGTACATGTTCTGTAAAAGAGAATTTTTTCTTTGTTTCCTGATCAAAGAACTAGATGACCTTTTCTGCTCATATTGAAGCTATATGAACTTAGAGTGGCTAACAGGATGTTCTATGCTTTTTTAGTGTAAACAGCTGATGAACTGAAGCATAGACGCTATTGTCAGCATGCAATATGGTGTGAATTAATTTCCTCACAAACAGTGGTATTTTCGTACTTTCCTTTCTCACCCATTCTGCGTAGGACACGAAATCTGTTTTGAAGGGCTGTTCCACCCTCAGTGTGTATTTTGAATGTAATGCTAGCAGTGGGGAGAATCCATTCTACTAGTAGTGTTAGTTCTACTGATTGAAGGACACCATTGGGTTTCACTCATTGGACAGAATCCTGTTACTCAACGTATGGTGTAATGTTACACTGTAATAAATGTGCTAGGTGTTCTACCCCAGCAACATGGACTGCACAATTCGATTATTCAGTCAGTTATGTGGTTTCCGTTTCACCTGATTACACAATGCACTGACAGAAGTAATGCCAACAGGACTTTGGCCGTTATATGCAAGCCTAATTATCGTCTTTTTCCATGTACACTTTTTCCTAAAATAAAATTTGAGGGTCGTAGTTTAGGCCGTTAGGACCAGTCTTGTGTTAGAGAAGAATAGGGAGATAAGGAACAAGATAAGAAATGAATAAATAACTTGAGTAACATGATTATTCATAAGCAAATATAAATGTTATCAAAGCACAGTTAATTGAATGAATAACCATCCATGATTAACTTTATATGATTTACTTATGAACACTTGAATAAACATTGTTTTAATGAATAATACTGATTTAAGAGTAATATTTGATGTAGTGAGGAGCGACTCCTCTGGTGGCAGCAGGAAAGGGTTGAAAAATAAATGTCACACCCGAAAGTGAACCTAGGTTGGGTGGAAGAACACAGGGCAACTAAGGGTGTGTGATAGTTGTTTTATACTCGGAAGAGTGGGAGAGGGATCAAAGTTTTACCCTCCAGGTTTTGCAAAGAAAATGGAGGGGGAAAGCGGTTTCTGCTTTCCTCCTACATTTTCATTGCAAAAAGCAGCTTTCCTCCTCCAGGTTTTGCAAAGGAAATGGAGGGAGAAAGCAATTTCTACTTTCCCCCTACATTTTCATTGTTAAATGTTTGCAATGAAAATGTAAGGGGAAAGCTGAAATCGCTTTCCCCCTCCATTTTCTTTGCAAAACCTGGAGAGGGAAAGCTGCTTTTTGCAACGAAAAATGAAAATGTAGGGGGAAAGCAGAAATCGCTTTCCCCCTCCATTTTCTTTGCAAAACCTGGAGGGGGAAAGTTGCTTTTTGCAAAGAAAGAAATTTTGATTTAGAAATGTAGGGGGTGTTTTATATATGAGGGCGTCTTATACATGGAAAAATACGGTATGCTGTGCAGTACTTTCGCCTGCTACTAAATGCTAAATTTGTCACACATTCCTTTTTATCTCTTAGAAAACTGGTGGTCTGCATTGGAGCCTCCCTTATTCCTCAAAATAGTGGAACTTTACAAAGATGTTGTAGTCCACCTTCTGAAACTGTACAAGATGGGTCTCCCTACTTCAGAGCAAAGAATCTTTAGCAGCTGTCTACACACATCCCTCAAGGTTTTGGAAATTTTGCATAGGGTATGTCTTGATAGTTGTATCCTTATTTCTAAGTTATAATAAACATGATAGATACAGTGAATCTTCAAATAAATTCACTTAAATTGACTGTCTGCATGGAGGTTTACCATTATGGTTTATCTGTAAGGCATTCTGACTGTACCATTAGAATTTATTTGACATCTAAGCATGTGCCACTGGATAAATCATTTCCTTGTGTTATCTTGAAGATGAATGAAAGAGCTTACTTGAGATTTAATATAGCATCAGAACCAAGACCTAACTCAATGCGCTATGTAGCCATGCTCATGATCAAACCACAAAGAGAAGGTTTCTGCTACAAAAGACAAAAGAACAAAGCTAAAGCAAGTGAGGATTCTTTTTTGTTTACTATGATTCTAAATCTAGATGTCTTAGGAACTGATAGCTAAAACAGTATTTAAAATATTAGAAAGTTAACGGTATGCCACAAGAACCCCATTCTTAATATAGCAGCCTTGTTCACATGTTGCTAATAATGGCAAGTAATTTTAAGTATCAAGTTGGCGATAATGGATCTTGGAGTAAAATCCAGGGTCGTTTCTGAAACAATTTGTTCGTCTCTGCAACAGTACAATATTGTCCTAGAAATGATTAATTTCAAAGGCAATCTCTTACTATTATTTAACTATAAATAACTAATAAGGTATCTGTTCCTGAAGGGAGTGGGAGAATTCTTTTGAATACTGTTGTTTTCAAACCAGTAATGGGCATATCTCCATAATCCTCTCTTAAATATCAGGAGAGATGTTTGCTTTCCAGTTCCATAACAGGAATAGTTCTCCATAGGCATCCTTCTGTCTCGAGAGACTATGGTGACATGCTCTGAATCGAGGAATGTCCTCTCCAGAGCATGAAGCCCGGGTAAGGTAGTATGGAGGATAAGCTGTTACCCATGCAGCAGATCCCCCCTCTCCACATTGCTGAAATGGTCCAATGGAAAGGCAAGAGCCAATACAACTGGTTCCAGCAATGTCGCAGGAGTTGGCAGAACGACATGAGCTGCCTTCGGGACTCCAGCTCCGGATTTTGCCTCTAGGTTAACTCCTGAAGCCTTTTCCATGAGTGGATATAGCCACAAGGCAGTGGAGGTTTGAAATCGGAGTTTTCCTTCTCCTAGATGGGCTGCCTTCCATGGCTGATGAGCCCCACCTACCCGGCCTGCTCTTTAATAGTGTGGAAGTATGATCTGACCCTTAAAACTTTCCTGCCTCCCAGGATTATGCAAATCTAATTGACTTTCCTATTTACCATATTAAGGCCAGAGATAGAATTTGAGAATTTCGCGCGCCGTTAGGCACGCAGTCCTGGAACACGCTCTTTTAAAGCAGAAAGTCCCACCCTCAGCCCAGCTTCCTAGGGAAAAGGGTCCAGGGTCCTGGGACACGCTCTTTTAAAGCAGAAAACCCCACCCCCTAGGCCCCACCCCCAGGCCATGTGGTGAGGAGACAAAAAGAAACCCCAGAAAAAAAAACTCAGCAAAACATCCATGCAAACATACCTGGCCTTCACCCTCAGCCCAGCTTCCTAGGGAATAGTTATGCACGTATGATACAACCGAGTGTACAGTTATATACAAGTCCAGTTAACTTTCTTCATTATTACGTTTCTGCTCTTTACTATCAAAATATTCAGAGGATACTTTGATTGTAAAGAGTAGGTAGTGTGAACTCAGTTCTGGATAGTTCTTAACTTTTAAATTGAATCTACTGACAGTACATTTTGGGGGTGGATTATAGTCTTGCAAGTAAAGTCATAAAAATTAGATAAATGTTTTAGTACTTACCATTTTATCAGGTGTGAAATCGCTTTGAAGCTCTGAAGACTTGTTAAAATGTGCAAAATACACATATGTTCAGTCTTAATGTGGTGAAGTGAAAAGTGGAGTATTTGTAGTGAAAAAATCACATTTTGTTTAATATTTAGGTTAATGAAAGAGGTGGGCAAATCATACAGTATGATAAGTTCTACATACATGAAATACAGGATTTGATAGACATAGGAAACGACTACGTCAATTGGAACCACCATCAGACTTATGGAATGGTAAATATCCCTGCTTATTGTTCTTACTATATTTTTACATATGTGGTACACAGATACTGTATGTTTTCATGTGGTATAACAGTTTCTGCATTTATGTTTTGCTTGATACAGAATTTTCAAGTCTAAAATAAGTTTGTGGACACATTAACACCATGTGTTGGGAGAAGAATGTAAAATTATCCTGGCATGCTAGTTGTTTATGTGTAGGGATCCCCCCCCCCCCCGCCAACCCAAGTGTATATATGCAGTTACAGAATCCATTTCTGAAATCTGAAATGATAAGTGCAGAATAGTCTTATACTTGACACGTTGTGTGTTCAGAGTGGTTCTTAATTTTCCTGTCAGTTCTTGTCTTGGGGGGGATGAACCTTTCTCAAACATTGCATGATTTGTCAAGTCTCTGTACAAAAAAACCCAGTCTTTGATTAACATTGGAGAGAAAAATAAATGTTTTTAGGTAGCATAGTATATGATAGTTGAAATAGTGTAAGGCTTGGTTTGGGTGAAATGAGAAACTGGTAAACTTCAAACCATGGTTATAAGTTTCCAAACTTGGCCTGTGAGAGAAAAAAGTGCTTGACAACAAAGGCTCATTAATAATAATAATTGTTTTCTGTCAGATCATTTCTAATTTATGGCAACCCTTTTCAGGATTTTCTCAGTAGACAGTACAGTACTCAAAAGTAGTTTACCATTCCCTTTGGGGGTGGGCACCCAGGGACTACGCAGCTTGGCCAAGGCTACGCAGGCTGACTCTTTTGGGATGCACAGTGGAGAATTCAATTCCCAGCCTCTGAGACTAACTCATTGAGCTATCCAGCCGAGGCTCGTTGCTCGCTTTTAATATAACAAATCATGGTTGTATCCAACTGGCCTACTGACTTATAAGTGTTACCGCTGTGGCATAATACAGGACAGCATCCAACAACTTTGCCTTGCTTTACTAGCCAGATCCATCTCTTTTGAACCTATTGACATTTTTGTAAGTCATATAGCACACGCAGCAAGGTCCAGAAAATGATGGGAGTTTGTTTATATTTGTGCAAAGAGGTGCAAGCAGCACTTCAGTCCTGGCTTCTGCAAAAGCTCATTAAGAAAGTTGAAAAAACATTTTCATAACAGGGTTGCTACTTTCTGGAAAGTCAGGGAAATTGGTCTGAAATCAGGGAAAGTCAGGGAAATTGTGATTAAAATATATTCAAGCAGTGGATTTTGACCTGCTGCTGCAAGAGCATGATCTGTTCTTGTGGCAATAGAGAAGTAGCAGAATACAAGTAAAACTTAATGATGCGCTTTCCCAGCTCCACTTTTTTCTCAGCTCCACCCCCAGCAACCAGCCCAATGTGTTTGTTGAGCTCTGTCCCTACATGCTTTTCAAGGTCTGCCTATAGCTTTTGCAAAGCAAGGCTTGTTTAAACATTTAGCAAGATACAAACTTTAAACACCTTTTAAACATCTTTTTCATCCCTGTCTGTTAGTACTGCATTTAATTTATATATAAAGATAAGCAAGTTTTGGGTCATGCTTGTGTATAGAATGAATATGTTTGTCTCCTGCTAAACCCACCCAGCACAAAGTTCCAGATGAGTTTTGCGGCTGTTGGATTTCACAGTCAACTAGCACTTTCTACTCTGCACCATGCAAAGTAAATTTTCTAACTTGCAGCACTGGGGAATGTGGGATGGAAGCTACGTCAACTTTCTTCCATGTTCTCTTTGGGGGAGAAAAGAAGTGTAATTACTCGCATGAGTTGAGCTTCTGCAGAAAGTTTCATCTCTGCCTTATACTTCTACTGCTTATAAAAATTAGTTATTTAAAATATTTTTACTTTACTTTTCTCCTAAAAAAAGAGCCAAAGGTGGCTTAAGCATTTTAAATTCAGGTAGTATTATTGAAAACAGTTGAATTTCACTTGCATTATAGATGAAAATGTTGGAGGGATTTTGGTTAATTACCTTTTTAGTTCACAGAGCATAAAGTACAAAAACTAACAGCTGCAGCACTGGGGAAATGTTAAAGGAGAAAAGCTAAAATCTCATCTTCCATTCAGCCCCTTTGTTCACACAGAAACTAGCATATAAAAATCACTCCACAAGTAACTTAAGTAGAATTTTTAAAATTTACAGTTGATCTTTAGTTACCATCAGAAGAATAAAAGGATAAAATTGGAGGGGTGAATCGCTTAGCCATTTGAAAGAGAGAGAAATCCATGTGATTGCATGGTCTGAAGGTTAGGAAGCAAAGAAAAACGTGTCTGCTCTGATCAAAAGTCAGAAAGGGAGAGCAAAACAACAGGAAGAAGGAGTTAAGGCTTGTCTCAAGCTTGCTAAAAAGGACTTTGCTAGTTGGTTAGTTACAAAAGACAGCCACTTTAGTTTCTGTAAGAACTCCCTCTTCCCACTGAAACCCAGCTCCAGGCTGCATACAAGATTGTTATTTCTCTAACAGAAAATCATGCCAGGTTCAAGCAAAGGTACATTTCTCGTAACTATTTTTTTAAAAAAAATGATAAGAGTGTCTGGAAATATGAAAGATTTACTGGGTTTTAGGGCATCTGTGGCTAGGAAATACCGATATTTTGATTTTTTGCTGTGTTTTCCTCTTGGTACAAAACAACAACTTGAGGTCCTGCATAAGGTCAAAACATATTCTTGGCTTATACTGAACATAGCACATTAGCGGTAGGATTGATCTTGAAAACAAAGAAGGATGTTCAAAACTATTCAAGAAGGCTGCAGGAAGCAAAATGTCTGGATTTTTAAATTACAGTAATAAAAATACTTCTGCAAATTCAGTCTCCCCTCATATTATGCAAAGAGATTATTTTATGAGGAGACGCCTGTGTTTACATTTACATCATTCTAGTTACACCATTCTAATTAGTCTAATTCTTGTTTGTGCCCTTTCCATTCAGCAACAGTAGTTCTGTCAAATCACCTTCTCACACTAGTAATTTAAACCACTCATTAAGTACCACATCTGTTTTTAAATCAGAAGTGTCACTCTTCGCTGCTCATGTATCTCAAGTCAGAAGTTTGAAATATTTTTGTAATGGCTTGGAGTGAACCCAAAGGTCAGCTAAGTTAAAAAGGAGCTGTGCTTAGGGATACTGATTTTGATAAATACAGTCTGATGTTCAGCTGCTCAAGGAGTGAAAGAAGACAATTCATACTTCTACAGTCATGGCCAAAAATATTGGCACCCTTTCAATTCTGTCAGAAAATGCAGCCCTTTTCTCAGAAAATTGTTGCAGTTGCAAATGTTTTGGTACTCACATGTTCATTCCTTTGGTTTGTGTTGGAACAACACACACACACAAAACCAGAAGAAAAGTAAAATCTGATACAATCCCACACAGAAACTCAAAAATGTACTGGCCAAAATTATTGGCACCCTGCCTAAAATGTAAGAAATAATTGCTTTTCAAGCATGTGATGCTCCTTTAATTTATATTTAGACACACCTGTTGCAAGTAAGAGATGTGGGCAGTATAGTAATCACACTTGCAACCAGTTAAGATGGAGAAAAGTTGACTCAGCCTCTGTATTGTGTGTGACTCAGCATGGAGAAAACAATGAAGTGTCAAGAGTTGTCTGTGGATTTGAGAGCAAAATTTTTGGAAAAACATTGACAATCTCAAGGCTACAAGTCCATCTCCAGAGATCTTAATGTTTAGCAAAGTTACTAAAAAATTATAACGAAGGGTTGTTCAAATGGTGGATATAGAGTTTGGAAGATATAGAATTTCCAAACAAATTCAAGCTGATCTGCAGACACAGGGTACAACAGTGTCAGCTCGCACTATCTGTCGCCATCTGAATGAAAAGGGGGCTTTAGAAGGAGACCCAGGAGGACACCACTGCTGACACAGAGGCATAAAAAACCAAGACTGGAGTATGCCCAATGCTGCAAAAACACCCAGAAGAGTTTTTAAAAAGCAGAAAATAGCACCTTACCTCCCTGCAAGCAAACACACGCTCACTCCAAAGCAGAAGCCAGACAGTCCCAAGCCTCCTTTGATCACACTCAGAAAGAGCTACAAAGAAGCAGCCTTGTTGCCACCTACAGTTAGAAATTTGAATTTCCCGCCTTTTCCCCCTGCCTTTTTCTGTTCCTAAGTGGAACAGTCGCAAGTAGAAGCAAAATTTGCAACCGGAGTTGGTTGTAACTCAAAATTATCGTAAATAGGGATGTTCATAAGTCGAGGCGCCACTGTATTTTTTAAATTTTCTGTTTACCCACAGTAATCTTCTAGGGTGGATTGGGATAGGTTTTGGAATAAACAACCTAAATAATAGATACAGTATTAAGTATATTAAAGCTGGAGAATTATTTGCTTTGGGGCCAGACTCGTTTGTTGAATAACGCAGCATTACAAATGCTTCAGCTTGTGTCTCTGTTGTCATTTGAACTCTTCATCTGCCAGTTTTTCTAAACCAAGGGCATCATTATCACTGTAACTGATCAAAAGAAAGAGCTAAGGCATAGTCCTTTTATTTTGTTCTGCTCACTTGTTTCTGAGGTGTGGCAAAGGGTTATGAGTAGGGTTTGAGGGAACAAACTATTAAATGCAAGAGTCCTGTGCAGCTGAACTGTAGCTGAGTACATATCTTCAGTTAGGCACAGCTACCTTCTGCATGCCTGAGGCAGGGGAAATATGCCTGAGATGACTCGCTTGGGAAGTGTAGAGATTCCAACAAGGTATACACAGATTATTTATAAAGTTAATGTTATTTATTCATTTGATTTATATACCCTGACTTTCTCCCATGAATAGGATTGAAGGTTAGGCATGGCTGTAGTGGAAGCCCCATTTGTCTATTAGCCTTGGGTCTAGATATGGGTACAGAAGCACCATGTGTGTTCCAAAATTCACTTGTGCATATAATAGTCTCCACTCAATGCCCTGTATGCACAGGGTTCACATTTTTAAAAAGAAAAGAAAACAAAATGGACAAACACTTATTTTTTTCTTACTCTAGTGTTAGTTTCTGCATATATATATTCTTCACCTAACAGTGCTTTTTCCTCTCTTGGTTACTGCTGCCTTTTGTGCACTGCTATGAGTAGGATATCAGCCATGGATTAAATGAGGTAAGAAATTATATGACTTTCGCAGTAAAGTTCTGCAAATCAGACACAAAGACGTTGACCTGTAGGTTTCATTCTAATATGTATTTGTGGTGGATATAGCCATTAGATCAAATGGCACAGATATTTCATGTAGATAGGTACACCTAAGCCTTCAAAAAAACACGACGACACCCAAATATCTTTATGAGCTGAATATTCTATAATACATCTATTTGTCAAGCAAAGATTCCAGAACTGTATCTGTGGAAGCAAGAAATTTAAAATTAAATCCTTTGCATTTATCCACAAATATTCCACTAATTCTGCAGTTTCACAAACACATCCATATTGCGTTAATGAACAGATTTTTCTCTCATTCTTTCCAGCCAAGCGATGTGCCAGTTACAATTTGCACCTATCCATTTGTGTTTGATGCACAGGCAAAGACAACCCTCTTGCAAACAGATGCAGTATTACAGATGCAGGTAAACTGATTGTTTTAAGATTTTTTTAAAAAAAAACTGATGTAGAGCAAGTATATGTATTCCTGATTGAGACATTTAAAAATTCAATATATTCAAAATTCAAAGGATGCTCCATAAGTTGTAATTTTTCCACAAGGAGAGAACTTAGGCAAATGGTGATATATAGCATAGTGTACTGTGTACAGTTGTCCTCAGGTCTCATTTCAGTTGTAGGCAGTAAGTCATGGAAACTGCTGGTCTTTTGGAAAATGCCCTTTGTTACTGTTGATTGTCAGGCATAGAAATTTTGTATTTTTGGACATTAGTCGCCAAGGGTTTGCAGGAATTCTTCCAACTAGAATTCTTAGGACTACAGCCAAAAACTCAAAAGTCCACTTATATCTAAGATGTTTTTAATCTTTTAGAGCTAAGAAATAAAGACTTTGTCTAGGGCAGGGGTCATCAACCCCCAGTCTGCGGCCTGGTGCCGGTCTGTGCGCTTGCTGGAACTGGGCTGTGGATATGGATCGCTGCCCCCCCACACGGTGAGTGCGACATGCCCACTGCGCTTGTGCGGGGGTGCCCTCGCCCTCTTGCGCATGGAGCTCGCTCCCCCAGCCAGCCCTCCCAAAAGGTGGGGAACCGCTGGTCTAGGGCACTGGTTCTTAACCTTGGGTTACTCAGGAGTTTTGGACTGCAACTCCCAGAAGCCTTCACCACCAACTATGCTGGCTGGGGTTTCTGGGAGTTGCAGTTCGAAAGCATCCGAGTAACAAAGGTTAAGAACCACTGGTCTAGGGCATGAAGAGTCTTCATGGAAATAGAGGAAGTGATTGGGAGGGGTTAAACTTCGTGGGAACTGCAAGGCATTACAGATCTGCTAGCCTACCTGTCATTACGCTCTGTACAGAAAGCCTCTTATGAAACTACCAAAGCCCAATGCCTTGCAACCTCTGTAGAGTTCGGCCCCTACCAGCCACTTATCTTTGAGAAGACTCTTCCTATTCAATATGGAGTCTTTATTGCTCACTTATGAGAGATTAAAAACACCTGAGAAGACTTTTTATTTTGACTAAACTCTTGAGATTTCTGGCTGGTATTTTGTATCTACCAGTGATAACAAAGACAAGTAATAGAGTTAGATTAATAGCTCCATGCTATTTGCTATGGCAAATAAGAATTGCTTTTAGGATGGGAGGACATGGAAGCAATGGTCATTTTTGCCTTTTTGGAGACATTATTTAGCATAGCAGTGCATCAGTAGGTGGGTTCTGTGGTGCTCCCGACCCTCTTAGGGATCGCAGGGCACTCAGTCAGAGAGTTCTACAGCTCTTGTGTACCACCTTTACGCTGGGTCGAGTCCCTAGATCCCAGCAATACGTAGCATAAGTCCTTTAAACAAGTCTGACCTAAAAAGAACACTTTGCACTTGCTTAGAAACTTAGCAAGTACAGGCACCTGGGCTTTGTGATTCCTTAGAACTCACAACAGCTCAGGGAGGTAGGACTCTTCAGTGATAGCAATTCTGTGGCCCTCTTCACTACTGGAATTAGCCAGACCTTGCTGTTCAAGAGACCAGTCCTCAATAAGGATTTTTTAAGAATTAATTTTTATTAGAAAAACAAAGTTTCATAGAAATTCAGTTTACCGTATTTTTCGCTCCATAAGACGCACCTCTCCATAAGACGCACCAAATTTTTAGGCAAAGAAAACAGGAAAAAAATAATCTGGGAATTTCGCTCCATAAGACGCATATACTTTTCCCCCAATGTTTTTTTGGAAAAAAAGTACGTCTTATGGTGCGAAAAATACGGTATATTGCAAAAGCAGTAGCATTCAAGAACATATTCAAAGATTATTGCAGTTAAATAAAATAATTATTTCCCAGCTAAAATAATAAACTTCTAAAAGCTAACCTAGGGTAGGCTATGGAAGGCTAGCCCCCCTTTTTCTTTCTCCTTCACTGACATCCTCCCCCCCTCTCTCAAGCTACATGCTCATACTATCATCAGAACAGAAATCCATCATCAGGAATCATTGAACACACTAGAACACAAGTGAGCACAGAACACATAATCTACGTATCTTCCATTTTCTACTTTCCTAGCTCCTCCCTGCTTCATGGCCCATCTGGCTGTTAACCAATTAAATTTAAGAGGTTGTACCACCTTTCCCCACCCATTATTCCCATGAGAGAGTCCAGGTGTTGTTTATATCTTCTGTAACAAGTTTGGAATGTTAAGTCTTCCAGGCCCCTTGGTTTGGCCTTCAAGCTATCTCATTCCTGGCTGTAACTGTCTGCAGAAAAACATTCTCATGGTGGTAAGAAAACACATTCAAAAGTCCTTCAAATCATCTCTACACAGAACCGTTCTGACTCCATTTTATATTTCTCTGACTACATATCCCATCATCATGACACGTTTCTAACCATATATCCCATGAACATAACAAATTCATACAGCTTTCTTTGAACCAGTAACTTTTGTGAGCTATAGGCGGGGTATAAATACAATAAATAAATAAAAATAAAATAAATAATCTGCAAGGCTGCACATATATTTGATTTATGGGGAAGTTGTGTGTGTGTCTGCAGTAACTTAAGTCACAGTCAGTGTTTGCTTTTGCTTGAAGCACCTGTGTTGATTACCAGGGACTAGGAACTTTAAAGGAGCTGTAGTGTTAATCTAATGATTATCAAATGGTGTGCTGTGGAGAAGGCCTGAAGTATGCCTTGATAAATATAGCTTTGTGGAGAAATATGCAGCATGGATTCCTGCCTCTTCTATCAGTATGATAGCAACATCTCAAGAGAGGGATGAGAATTCCCTAGGTTCCCTGTAGCTGACAGGTGTGGGGTGAACTCTGAAACATCACTGACCAGTTGGGCAGAAGAGAAAGCTTGAGGCCCGTAAGCAGTATTCACTGGGCTATTTTGTGATTGCAAGGACTGTGTCTGACTAATGTTCATTGAGAAAACCTGTTTCCCTGCTATGACAATTTGTGAAATGCTGCATTAGCGCAATTTTCAGTCAGGAATATTGCTAAAAATAAACTAATCTAATAATAATTGTAATTGTAATCTTGACATGCATCCACTACTAATGACTGCTTTGCTACCACTAAAGTATTTACTTGTTTTTTTCCCAGGTGGCTGTTGACCAGGCTCACAGACAGAATTTCTCATCTCTTTTTCTCCCAGTATATGAATCTGTCAATCCATGTCTGATCTTAATAGTGCGCCGAGAAAATATTGTTGGGGATGCCATGGAAGTCTTAAGAAAAACGAAAAATGTCGATTACAAGAAACCTCTCAAGGTACAACATATTTGCATGTTTCTCTTTTGTATCAGTCCAAGGACCCTGGAGTTGTTCCTCTCCAGCCCTTGTAAATATTTGTATTGTACCAAATGCTATAGGTTCAGGCAGAGAAATGGGACTTTTAAGCAGAAACACAATTGACAAGAAAAATGCTTAGGAGTCTGTTTCCTCCAGCAATTCAAAAATACAGCTCCGTGAGATGGGTTTTAGTGTCAGAATAATGGCCAACTCCAGGTCCATGACAGATGAGTTGTATAATGCATTTGTTTTTGCAAATACATGTTTTCTGTATGGTATATTGCCTCTTTATGTAAGCATATAAGCATTAGTTAAATACAATTTAAAAATATAATTTGTGAATTGACCCTTTGTTATACCTCGTAATTCTCATTCTGTTATCCAGATAACAAATACTACTTCTGTCTAATGTGGGTTTTTTGTATGTAGTTTGCTAACTGCATTGCCAATGTTAGGTTATTTTTGTAGGGGAAGAAGCTGTGGATGCAGGTGGAGTTCGCAAAGAATTTTTTCTACTTATCATGAGAGAGCTCTTAGATCCCAAATATGGAATGTTTAGGTATAATGAAGAATCCAGGCTAATCTGGTTCTCAGATAAGGTATGTTTGTTGGGGCTGGTGCCAGTAATAGTAGTATGTGAAATCTAGGAGGGTTCGAAAGAAGTGTTTTATACTATAGATATATTGTTTCTCTTGGCTTCACAATTACCTTTTGTAATTAAGTTAAAACCAACACTGGTAACATTATTAAAATAAGAATGAAATATTGAATCAGCCTGTAACAATTAACATTTAAAGGCTGAAACAAGTAAAAAAGTGCCATATTTTTCCATGTATAAGACACTACTTTTTCCTAAAATTGTTAGACTAAAAATTGAGGGTCGTCTTATACATGGAAGTAAGCTGAGGAGAGAACAAAACAGCCCGTACCTTGCCTCTGCAAACAAGCCTCCTTCAGTCACGAGGCTTTTGTTGTTGTTGTTTAGTCTTTAAGTCATGTCCGACTCTTCGTGACCCCATGGACCAGAGCACACCAGGCCCTCCTATCTCCCACTGCCTCCCAGAATTTGCTCAAATTCATGTTGGTGCCTCTGATGACACTGTCCAAACATTTCATCCTCTGTCATCCCCTTCTCCTCTTGCCTTCACACTTTCCCAACATCAGGGTCTTTTCTAGGGAGTCTTCTCTTCTCATGAGACAGCCAAAGTATTGGAGCCTCAGCTTCAGGATCCATCCTTCCAGTTAGCCCTCAGAGTTGATTTCCTTCAGAATGGATAGGTTTGTTCTCTTCTCAGTCCAGGGAATTCTCAAGAGCTTCCTCCAGCACCACAGTTCAAAAGCATCAATTCTTCGGCGACCTTATATCTTATGGTTTTTTTATGTTGAATTTCAGACCATTTTTTGCGCTCTCCTCTTTCACCCTCATTAAGAGGTTCTTTAAGTTCTCCTCAATTTCTGTCATCAGAGTGGTAGCATCTGCATATCTGAGGTTATTGATATTTCTTCTGGCAATCTTAATTCCGGTCCTGCCTTTTGCATTATGTATTCTGCATATAAGTTAAATAAGCATGGAGACAAAATACAGCCTTGTCGTACTTCTTTCCCAATTTTGAACCAGTCAGTTCTAACTGTTGCTTCCTGTCCCACGTATAGATTTCTCAGGAGATAGATAAGGTGGTCAGACACTCCCATTTATTTAAGAACTTGTCATAGTTTGTTGTGGTCAACACAGTCAAAGGTTTTTGCGTAGTCCATGAAGCAGAAGTAGATGTCTTTCTGGAACTCTCTGGCTTTCTCCAGAATCCAGCGCAAGTTAGCAATTTGGTCTCAAGTTCCTCTGCCCCTTTGAAATCCTTATACTTCTGGGAGTTCTCGGTTCACATATTGCTGAAGCCTACCTTGTAGGATTTTGAGCATAACCTTGCTAGCATGTGAAATGAGTGGAATTGTACGATCATTGGAGCATTCCTTGGCACTGTCCTTTTTGGGGATTGGAATGTGCCCTGATCTTTTTCAGTCCTCTGGCCACTGCTGAGATTTCCAAACTTGCTGGCATATTCAGTGTAGCAACTTAACAGTGTCATCTTTTAAGATTTTAAATAGTTCCACTGGAATGCCATCACCTCCACTGGCCTTGTTAGCCATGCTTTCTAAAGTTCACTTGAATTCACTCTCCAGGAAGTTTGGTTCAAGGTCAGCAACCACACTATCTGAGTTGTCCCCGACATCCAGATCTTAGCTGCCTCCAATCAAGAAGCTTAGCTTCATACAGTCAGGAGACTTAACTTCCTGGCTTCATACAGTCAGGAGACTTAGCTTCCTGCAGTTATGAGCCTTATGTAACTGACATCAGCTGATGCTGAACAAACCAATTCCAGCAGGGACTCCTAACGTCTGAGTGTTCAGAGCCCAGAGGCTAAATAAAGTTAAAGTGTGATGCATAATATGACAGTACTGGTATATAAATTTTACCTAATTACTAAATAAAATGTATTCTTTTTCATGTTTAAAATATTGATTTCTTAATTTAGGATTAGAAAGGGGGGCATGTCTTATACATGAAAAAATATGGTATTTCATCTAATTCTAAAAACAATGTCACAGAGGGCATCAGTTATGCCTCCTTGGAGAGATATTTCCACAGCTAAAGTCAGAGAGTATCACTTATGCCTCCTTGGGGAGATATTTCTACAGCTGAAGTAATGTTTCGTTATTTGTTTAATTTTTATACTTTCCATCTCTTCGTTTATTTCATTTTATACTGCCCATCTGTTATGTTATGCTATGCAGGTTGGGGACCACTGCCCTACACCACACTAGGCATAACAGCTGAAGTACTGCAACAGAAAGAACCTTTCCCTGGCCTCAGAAAATAATGTGTCTTGGAGACAGAGTTCCAAGGCTAATTTTAAAACATAAGCATGTTTGTGTACGTTAAGGTGGTGGTCCATCAGCTGTCTTGATCTGAAGCTGATTTGGGGTTTTAAAGGATAGAATCAACATCTTAAGTTGTGCTGTTATATTTAATAGATTTTGAATTTCCTGCCTGCCTGCCAGCGTGCCTACCTACCTACCTATAGACCTTGCTTCTATGTGTTTAGTGTTCATATAAGTATAGTTAGTTATGAGCCATCAAGTTGGAACTGACTTATAGCAACCCAATAGGGCTTTAAATAAGATATTTAAGGAACCATTTTACTGTTTCCATACGTCCAATGAGCTTCCATAGCTTAGTAGGGATTTGAACCCTGTCCTCCTGAGTCCTGGTTTATAACTCTAGCCCCTACACCAGTGGTCCCCAACCTTGGGCCTCCAGATGTTCTTGGACTACAACTCCCAGAAGCCTTCACCACCACCTCTACTGGCCAGGATTTCTGGGAGTTGAAGTCCAAGAACA